CTCACAAAGAGCTTTCAGCCAATACCACTTTTAACTATTTTTAATAGCAAACCACCTTTATTTTCCTTTTAGTTTAGTGAAATAACCTCTGCAAAAGTTATATATCTGTATTATCTAGTTAAATCACAAGCTATTAGGGGGCTGCCAGAAATCAGCTGATTTCTTAGGGGGGGTTCACGGTCCAGTCAGGTTATATATAATACTTGTTTTCTGATTGGTTGGTGCTAATGGTTATACAATTCGAGGTGCAGATGTATAATAGGCCATCTATACTATCTGCTATGTATACCGATTAGCTATAATTCTGGCTTACGGATTTGCTTACCTACCATCCCTTTGATCAGTACCCCTCTTGATTTGTACCGGGTACAAATCAAAGGCCGATTTACTAATAATAATTTTTTTTATTTATAGGCTAATACTGTATTACGCTCCACACAATGTACCCTATACCATACAAGGTACCCGGAGTACAAATCAAAGTTTTTACCACGTGAAATTAAATCGTACCCGGGTACTTTACACGGCATACGGTATACTTATACTGATCTGTGACTTTATGATAGCCTTTTTATTTTAAATAAATATGTATATCCGCACACAAAAAATCAATAATACGATCTTTTTACTACTACAAAGATATGTAACATTTAAAACTTCAGAAGTATTCTTTTATTAACTCTACGGTTTTTATTTAAACACTTTCTTATTTACCTCTTTGTGCATTCTTGCCAGTAGAATACTACGTATTATAAAACAGTTAGATTAATCTAACTACTACGTAGCTATTAATTCTAACTATACTTTTCTTTATCTAAGCGTTTCACTATCGGAAAGGCTATATTCGAAATCATTTTCTTTAATTTGTGTAGACACGTATGGCTCTATAAGCACATAAGGTTGAGAGTATATAAACTCATGTATTGCTGAATTAGAATTTCGAGATTTACGAGCAGAATGTTGAGACTGTTTATATTTTTGAACAAAATTCAAGGTAGGGAAATACTTTCCACATTCTGAACAACATAAACGCTGATGCATTTCTTCTGAAATAGTCAGACAATATTTATCGTAGGGTGGGATTTTGACTCGATCGAAGTATTTAAGAATATGAATTGGATTTAAAAAATACTAATCACGTCCTTTAATCATTGGGAGTAAGAATCCATTGTTTTCTTGTAATAAAGTAGTTGTTGCTTCAGATATGTGGGATAGCTTACAACAATTTATATTTCTACATTTACGAATATCGAGCGAATAGCGACAGATTTGACAATGGTCTTCAATCCATTGCCATGAAATTTCATCATCATCAAACATATCAATATGCATATCCACATATGTAGCTCTAACGTTCCTTCCATGACTTTGATCACGTTGCCAAATATCACAAAGCTTTTCTCCTGGAAATAGGATTATGTACGAATGTTATAATTTTGCATTAAGTAAGTAGATTAGTTTTTAAACTATACCTGAGAAACGAAAAAATTTTTTTGCCAATTCTTCATTAATAACTATTCCCTGAGAATTGAGGTGAGTATCGTAATGATCTATAGGTAATACGATTCCAGCTAACTTAGACGAGAGAGGTGCCATGCCTCTTTCCACGAGATTAAAAGAAGACTAACCAGGTGCATGAGTACGAACAGTTATGTAATCGAGGTCCAAGACACGAAAAAGTTTACAATATTCTATGATATTTTTTAGATGTTTTGGATTTTCATCCGGTCACCGTCTACTAATAAAAACCACAACGGTTTAATTTTTTCTTTTATGCAGATAACTTCATCATAGTCTTCTGAATTCGTTATTGAAATCAAATCAGCCATATGTGTCAATGCAGTTGTACCTACAAAATATTCGGATCGAATGTAAATTGTAAGGTGTCCTAAACGAAAACTATCATTTATATCATTTGGATTTATTAAAAGATATATGGATGGAATCAGTTTCATTTTTCTGCCTAAAGGAAAATCATGGTCAGGTATAGAAACAGGTTCATTTATTGTTTCGATTGACTTGAATATTCGTCTAACCGCTGGAATCCCCAAAGGAACCTTTGACTTATCGTCTTGGGATATTATTATGGAATGATCGTGAAAGGTTGCAGCAAACGTCCGGGCACTTTTCACAGAAGCGAGACAATAATGACTATTTGGATGATCCGATTTTTTATTCTATGACACGGATTGAATTTGTACTAATGCGGGGTGGTGGTGCCATTTTGCTGCAAAAGTATTTGGATGTTTTGGCCAAAGGTAGGTCAACAGAGTTTGTCTACTAATATAAAGGTTATATTTTTCTTCAAGTTTATCTTTTAAATGTTTGATAGTTCTAACTTTTATTATTATTTTTCTTCTTTTTTTATCTGCTTCGCCATATTCGATGCAATTATGAATGTGTTCGAGGAGGTCCAGGTTTTGTGCAAGAATTGATGGTCTTCCAGCACCCTCCCATTGTTCAACAATACCTTCTTCTTCAAGTTGTTTTTGTTTTTTAGCTATCATCCGGGCTTGATTTGCTGCATGTCATTTAAGTGCTTCGATTTTTTTATCATTGGTTCTGACAATATCTTTTTGCTCTTGTATTCTAACAGCAAGATCGCTTCTAATACTAGTATCTGAAGCTATATTGTACAAAGATTCGAATTCGGTAATCTTATTTCTTGCTGTTTTAATTTTTTCATATGAAGCTTTTTGAGCAGCAGCATTAGGACGTATTTCATATTCTTTAGAAATGGTAGAAGAAAGTGGGGTGGATACTAAATTACTTGGTCGTGACGAGTTACGACTAGAATTCTTAATGAATCTGATTGCTTGCAATGGAATTGGAGTATTCAAAAGAATTTGTATTTCTTCTTGAATAATGTCATCTCCTTTTTTTTTGATCTCACGCCATTTTTCATTCCTTCTTCAACTAATTTAGGTTTTGATGGTGATAGATTCGTGGTTAGAACCATTTGATTATAAGCAAATACGTTCATAAAATGTTGATACAAGGTATTTGCATCCAAATATAACAGCTTTTTATTGAATTTTGGCATACTTAAAAACATTTGCATTTCAATAACAAAATTTAGCACTAAAAACTTATACGAAAGGGTTTAATATATAATTTTTTTATTGCGTTTTATTTAATTTTTTTTTTTACTTTTTGATTGGTAAAAATCGACTTTTTTATAATTAATACGATGGGAAATGTTTACAGATAAGTCTTTATATTTCATTCGATTATATTTTTACTACATCGCAATAATTAATTTTTTTTATTTATGTATAGATTTTTATTTACTCGGTACATCAAACCAAAAATGCAGAACAACATTCTTCTAAATTCTATTCTATTTTGAAATAGATGCGGTGTTGAGAATTTATTATTCAAATTGACCGTATTAATATAACTCATACAAGGGGGTCACGTCAGAATACATCGGAATTGATCAATTTTACCCCAAGATTATAAAAAATTTTGGTGACCCTCCTGTAAAATTCATATAAATATGATGAAGCGAATTTTATTTTTAAAAGTGAGCCTGGTCTCAGTTTTTTATTAAAATTTAATAAACTTAATGACCAAAAATACGAAGCTTTCATTTTTCATATATAATATCCAAGTCAATTTTATACGTTTATTATACATGCTTGATATGCCCTGATTCTATACCTTGGCACCGGTTTAAATCATTCAGCATCCAACATTGATATGGCCCGATCCTATATCTCTGCATTGGCTTAAATAAATCGCATTTACACATATATTTTTTCCCACAGCTGCATTAAATTAGCTTGTTTTAATTAGAATTATTTAAACCAATGCTAATAGAGTGGGAAAATAATAGTGCGTGGGTACATGATGACGCAAAAAGTTACGAGCTAACTTCCCGAAGCCCATTTTTCTGAAATACTATTTTGCAAAGGTCGTCATACTGATAATCCATTTTACTAACGGGCATAAATGGATCGCCATTTCACTGACAATCAATTGACAAGTTTATTTAATTGAAATTAAGT